GGATCCACGGCTTTTCCGGCTAGATCGGTAATTTTTCGAAGTCTTTCTCATTTTTCTGGGTTCTCCGAAACCTAACTTTAAAGGATTTCCGATTTTCTTTCAGATCTGTCTTAGATTTGTGTATGTTATGAACCTCTTAACTGTTTTCCTTAAAGGTTTTACAATTTTTCAAAGCAACTTTTCATCGTCAACGATCAGGGTTTTTCTTAACCTCTTTTAAAAGATCTCTTCTCCGATTTTCAGTGTTGTTTTATGATGTTCAAACGATTTGTTTATGCTTTTCTTCTACCTGACTCAGCATGTTGAAAACCCTAAATATCTTTGGTTTTATCCAAGGTTCTGAAACCGTCTTTTATTTTGTATACATGTTTCGACTGAGTTCTTTGTGTTTAAACATTTTTCTTTGTTTAACTTGACTAATTCTGAGTTCTTACCCTTTAACTCAGCTCTGTTAAAACCCTAGTTTCTTGAAATTTTCCTCACTTGTTACTGAGAGTTTTTAAAAGATCTCATTTACCTGTTGCTATGTGTTAGACTATTTCCTTCATTTTTGGTTCTATGTGACTACGTGACTTTGTTGACTACTATACTTCGAGTAGGTTCTTTTACTACTAAGCCCTAGCCTACTCCTGTTACTGTTGTATGTTTGTGTACATCTACTTATTTCTTTTGTCAATACGGTTGGCCTTGCATGTTCATTCTTCTCTATTTATATGGCGAAGTGCAGAATCATGACTCTTTCTTGATTGATCTTGATTTCCTCAAGTTACGACTGATTGCAAATATTTTCTTATAAAACCCTGGTTTCACTCATTTTGTTTAAATTGATTGATTCCCTTCCTTTGTTATGATGTTTTACCCCTGCTGAATCCTTTCTCAAAATTAAGTATATTTTGTACTTAGACTCAATTATTTACTCTATACCTTTACTATCCCCGATATGGTCAGAAATCAATCCTTCTCACATTGATTTTCTTTCCTTAAATACCCCTGTTAGTATCCGTTTGAGCAGTAATTCCTTGATTAAAGGGAATACTTGTATTAATTAATTCTGACTGTGATTACTTCCATATTTGTGTCAAACCTTTACTAGTTACCTTATTTTTTTACTCATTTTAAAGGCTTTAAATACTCTAATGCTTTCATTAACAAGACACGAACAACTGAGTTCAAAAACACACACTTACATATTCAAACTCTCTTTCTTTCTCTGCTACTTGTGCTACTGCCTTGTCTAGCTGGCTGAAAGCCAAGGCTAGACTTTGGAACTCTGATTGCTTTACTTTTCTGCACTTTGCTCCTTCAATTGGTATATTCTTAATTTAAATTCTGAAACTCAACACCTATATGTTCCGTTGTTGTCAATCACTGTCTCTTTCTGAATGGCTCGTGTTGTTGAGTTGTACTGTTTGTTTATTGCTTTACTCAGCATGCTTAAAATTCTGCCATTCCCTGTTCAAATGTGATCAGCATATTTACTTGTTCCTGTTTATGTCCTTCAACTAGCATGTCTATAATGTACCTAATTCATGACTAATTATGTGTTTCTAATTTGGGTCCTCTATGTCCCCAACCCCTACTCCCATGTTTGTAACTACTGAAGCATGTAATTCTCTATGAACTGGTTCTGTGTGTGTTGTTGTTGCTCCTACCCCCTTTCCCTTTTCAAAAACTATTTTATTAGGAAATTCTTCTGCTGTTTTACAAACTCACTTCAAACATGTGGTTTCTAAAACTATTTTCCAACTTAACTCCTTTGAGTCTATGTCCAGCACTCTCACATGCACTCTTAGATCATTAGGTTCTGCCCCTCTTGTGTGAGCCTTGCTTTGGGACCCTTGAGCTCCCTCTGAACTTGGACTCATAAAAGTTGGCCCTTCCACACTACACTAACTCTCTTGGTTATGCAATCTGGGTGTGAGCACTGCCTGGGATCCCTTGAGGTCCTTAGGGAACTCTAACACACCCAGATATGAAAAAGGCTTTAGAACAATATTGGCATTGAAGTGGTTTATCACATAACTCAGAGAGGAAGTCAGGATCAGGCTTCCTATGGTTGTAACTTCTTATTTTGTGCATTTTTTCTTATGTAATTCAATCATATGGTCTATAATAATTTGTAAACAACTCTGGGGGTAGATAGTGAAAAGGGAATGGGTGACTATGCATGCTTTAGCTATAAAAAGGGGTAGAAAATATGTTATTAGGTTTATCTTCCTACTTGCGTAATAGAAACCATGCTTAGGACTCATTTCATGCATTAGAGATCATGTTCCCAAGGATTTACGCTTACTGTTTTCAGCATGTCCATTTCATTATCATATCACTTATAAAATCCTGCGTTAATTATGTTAATAACCTAAGTTTCTGCAATCATATTTCTACTGCCATGCACACTTAGAGATCCTGTTTTAGGCTAAACAGCACTGACAAACATATCATTTCTGCATATTCTGGAAATCATGTTTAAACGTTGTAATATTTGTGCATATAGAAATTTGCTTAGGATTCTGCATCATTCTGCATCTCTGTACATTAGATATCATGTCTTTAGAATTTCATTTATATTAACTTAAGCACGCTTAGGCTAACTATGAATGCACAAAAGAGAATAAAATAATTTTACTCAGTTTTTACAATCAACGAGCAATAATTCTATGTGCTGAACACCTAAAATAGCATGTTTTTTAGGTAATAAAAACCATCCTAATGATTCAAAACAACTACTGTATTGTTTTACGCCTAGGCAAGCCCTAGGTAATAACCTGAATAAAACTGGAAATGCCTTTGTTTAATTATTAACTGCTACAACCAGCAGGCAGGCCTGAGTCGGATTTCTTTTCTGAGTTATATAATGAATCTAATTCTGACTTAAACACCCTGCTTAGGACTTTAAATTCAGACCTTAACTATGTATAAGTCATGCTATCTATGTGCATTCTTTGTGGAGGTATAACTGAGCTTTCTACTTGCTTATATGTTCTCCCCCCCCAATTGCAGTCTTATATGTTTTTGTATGTCGCCTTAGTATTTTGCCTTTAAACTTGAGGATCTGCCTAGAACCCCCTCCTTATAGGAATAGTAATCCTAAATTCCTCCGAGACTGATAGGAAGGGATGGGTAACAGCATGCAATAAGAGTCGAGACCAACCCTCACTTTAATTACCTTAACGGGGCGAGAAAGGGTAGATATGGATATAATGACCGGTGCGCTAATACCACGTGTATCCCCTCTTTTGAGGAGTGTCATACCGGGTATTGCATTGATGTGATCCATATTACAAATAAACCTAGGACACCCCCTTTACATTCATAAACATGCCTTAGATTATAACTCTTTTCAAAATTTCACCTTTCAATAATCGTTTTCAAACGCTTGTGTGTTTAACTTAAATCCCCTATTACTTGAGCCTTACTTGTTTATTTGCTAATTGCACAAATTCACAAAAAACTATCTGGTAGGGAACCACACTAGTGGATCCTGAAGGGTGCCTAACACCTTCCCCTTAGGATAATTTCAAGCCCTTACCCTATCTCTGGTTATCAAACATAGTTGTAGTTGAACCTTATAGGTTCCCTAACGCACCTTAAGATCGTTATGTGGCGACTCTTCAAATACCCAATTCCCAAAAGTAAATGAGTCACCACACCCCATATATGTCGAAACCCGGACTCCTTTCCGCTGGAAGGGGAAAAACAAGGGCGCGACAAAGAGTACATGCAGGTAATTGGATGATTCTAGAAGAACAAGTGAGAGAGAGAGAGAGAGCTAAAAGTGAAGCCATTTTCATATATCTACAAAGAAGAAATGTACAGATCTCTTCTAACTGAGGAAGTTAACATCTATATATACAGATAACTAACTAACCGACTAAAGGATATTAAGTTACAAGATTCTATTTGTACACTTTAACCCCTAAACTGATGTATTATGCTATATTGGTTCAATACCCCCCCCCCCCTCAAG